TTACTAATTGGGCATGGGCCACATAAGTCAGTTTGCCATTAGCCTCTCCTTTTCTATTACTCTTAACAAAATTTCGGAAGAGGAGGAATGTTTGAGGAGAATGTATTGGTAATTTTAAGGCGCGTACATAAGTTTCCGGGATGAAAACAATTAATTTACTACACAAATAGTCTATAGTTTCTAAGTCTGCGGGGGAGGGGGGGAAGCCACCAACAGTAACGACAAAAACCCAGCTGCTTTTCTCAGTGTAGAACTGAGAAAGTAAAACGTTGGTTTAAATTGCCATTAGAGGGCACCAGAGAGCAAGCCCTGTCACCCCTTCGCACAACTTCCCACAGAAGCCCTCCTAGCTCCCAGCTTCGCCATGCTCTGTAATTCCTTCTCTCAGGTAATATTTCCGGCTTATCCTGCCCTCTTGCTTCTCTAGCCTCCTCAGTGTCAATCTCTCATAAAGAACAAGGTGTCGCCATGTCCCTTTCCTTCTCTTTTCACACCCTTCCCCTCAGCCACCATCAAAATAGTAAGATGCCAGATAAAACAGGAGCAGCGCCTTAATGATATATATACCTTTTGACTCGAATCACTCTGTCTACTCTGTGTAATCTAGGTATGGAGAAGGTTCTTTGTAGAGATGAAATGTTAGAGTTTAGTATTTTTGAAATGGAAGCCTGAATTTTTCAATTCTGCATTTCTCTCTGGGGGCTCACAGATTTCTTCATTTTCATAGAAAAGGAAACACACCAGGCAAGGCAACTGATTATGTTCAGTGCTAAAACTGCTCAGAAGAGAATAAAATAATGTCATTTCATTTCTGCATTTGTTAAAGAAATCAAAATTAGTGTTTAATTCCAAAAGTTAACGCTTTCCGACTTAAATCTGTGTAAAATGACTGCCACACAGAGTGTATTTCCAGATCTCTTAAAGGTCAAAAGAAAAAAAAAAATAGAATGCGAGGAAGAGTGAGTTGGGGGGGGTGGGCGGAGAGGAGTGAGCTAGCAGTGAATGTCAAAGTTGGGTTGCAAGCTACTTACATGTCCATGCCAGATCAGGGTGTTGTCTTGTAGCAGTTTGATTGGCAGGTAAAAAAGCAAAAGAACGTGAGGGCTCCCTGAGCCTCTTGTCAGCCCAAGCTTGATCACTTCTCACCGGACAGAACGAGTTGAAGGAGCTTGCAATTCCCCTCTCGTCCTCCATCCAAGGCACCATGAATCCATTTCGGCTTTTCTTCCCCCCAGTCTCTCCATCAGCCTCCTGCCTTCACCCGCTTCGCCTTACACCAGCCTCCAAGACCTAGCCTAGCTTTGCCACTGCAATCCCCTGCAACAAGAAAAATCGTTTATGGCTTAAAACCCCAAATGGCTGATTTTTTAAAAGAGAGAGAGAGGGAGAGGGAGAGAGAGAGGAGAGAGAGGGTGAGGGGGAGAGAGAGGGGGAGCGAGAAGAATGCACCCAGAGAACAACAAAAAAGTCAGTTATCCTAACACTGCTCTATCCCCCCACCGTACAGAAGAAGAATAAAAAAAAAAGCTTTATGTTTTTTCAGTGGGTATTCAAAGATAATTTGATGCCATTGTTTCTGCTACAGATGGTTCTTTTAAATACAATAACACGGCTCTTTGTGCAGGCTACCCACAATAAAAATCGAAAGCGTTCCCCTGAATAACCATTTTGTTCTCTCTTGTATGGGGCCAACAAAAGATGCCGTGAGGTAATGGGTTCTGTTTATTGAAGCCATAGAATAGGGGTTTGATAAAGATTTTTTTAAAGCAGAAGACCTTGCAAGGTCGGGCTGATCTCTTCATATTTTTTATTAAAATATTTGTCCAATAGATTATTCCTTGGTGCAGCTGCAGGTTTCCTCCTCGATTCTTAATCAGCCCAAACATCTGTCTCTTTGAGGAAGCTTTAAAAAAAAATCTGCAATTGTATCAATGGTGCAGTAACCTTATCAAATCCTGAGTTTTTAGGCTCAGTGTAGGCAAAGGCAATGGGGTTTGAATTCTGTTTAGTTCTGATGGGGTGAGGTGGAGGGCTGGGGGAAGAGGAAACACATCAGCCCCAGACAGAGTGACTGGGGTGGGGGGGGACCAGGCTTTCCTCCCCGCCAACCCCCACCCCCTGTTGGCCATGCATAACTGCACAAGCCAGACACACAGATCACTGAGGACTTGAGATGTGTCTGCTGATCTCTGCAAGCTCCACCCGTGCATGCATGTTGGACAGGGGTTAGGCATGTTTTCCTACTATGCTTCCCCTCTTCTCTAGGTAGATCTCCAATCACAGAAAACCTAGGATGGGATCCCAGGGGGAGGACTAGAACAAACTAGAGGTTAGTCTTTAGCACCCAAAGGGTCCTACTCTTGGCTCTCTTTCATTTACTGTTAGTTAGCTTTGACTCATGGATTGCTATACTGCAAGGGGACTGTTGGCCACAGCCTTCCTGCTGCAGTGCCCCATGCCCTCAGGGTTCTTATAACCACCCTGCTTCCCCCTCAGTTCCACAGAGGACATCTGCTTCCCCTCACAGGGGGAGCCCTGCCACCTAGACTCAGCTGAGGTTTGTATCAACTTTGAGCCCTGAACCCTAAGGCAATGAGGGTGCTGCAGGAGAAGTGCAGAAGATGGCTAGATTCCTCTACCTTTCTATAGGAATTAATGCCAGGGCTCTCTGGGCCTCCAATAGTCCAAAGTGACAGTAATCCACTTTCATGACTTCTGTTCTGTGTATTGTCACTTGTGGCAAGACAATAGTCTGGGGAAATGGCTTTAGTCTTAAAAACAAGTTTTCATTGGGTTCTCTTGCCCCCTGCTTCATTCAGTTCTCCCTTTCTTCCTACAAACCATTCAAAATAAAAGATGAATACTCAAATGAATCTCTTGACAGAACTGATCTTAGCTTCTCCTTTCCCTTTTGGAAACTAATGTTATTTGTTTACAACTGGTCTGAAATAATCTAATAAGGAATTCTTGGGGACTATTACTTAGACACTAATTAAAGCCTTTCCTGCAAAACTTGAAAAACAAACAATAAAACAGAAAATTAAACAGTATTCCACATGGCTGTTTCTCAAAAATTCATTTTATATCTCAGGATGAACACCTTAATATCAGTTTGAAAGGAATGAAAGTCAAGGCAATACTAAAAAGTTATGTACATTTCTGCATGCTCTGAATCAAGAAAAAATGTGCCTGTATAAGTGTATTTTGGTGAAGCAAGCAAGTGGAGAGTATAAATCAAGAGCGACCTTTAATAAAATAGGCTGAGGAGTGTTACTTTCCTCACCAGGGTAAAGGTGTATGTGTGGGGCATTATGCAAAACTGAAAGTCAATAGTAGAAACACCTCCTCCAACTAAGGTGGAGTGGGAGAGGGCAAATGTAAAATGTTTATTCCAGGGTTTCATAACTTTGCACTACAAAAGTAATCCACTGAAATAAAGGAATGATCTCTTCCTACTTCCCTTGTCACAGTTTTTTGAATGTCAAAATTTATAAAGGAGGTCCCAACCTGTTGAAAGCTATTTTCCTTTTCATAATGAACTGAAAGAAGAATCTGAACTGCTTGTCCTTTTTCCACCAAGGGAGGGGTTTGGGACTGGGTTTGTCTGTAAGCTATGAAGGCATCAGTTGAGTACCCTGAAGTGTCTAAAGGTGAGTTAAACCTTACACATTTTATCAACTGAGTCTATTCAGTCCCAGTCAAAAGGAAGTTTAAAATCTCTCAGGTGGTCTCACTTTCTCTGGTTAAGGATAGGAGGACAGTTTTGTAGGTAAGCCTCCAAAAGTTGTCTAAAAAGCTGTAATGCAATCCATTCTATCTGACATGCGGGGAGACTTCAGCCTATGACTAAAAAATGTGGAGTGGGTGACGATGAAGGGAGAGTGACTAACTGCCTTAGTAGGTGAGGGAATCAAGAACCAGTTGCCTTCAACTGGGAAACTGCTTAAAAAAAAAAAAACAAACAAAAAGCAAAATAACCTGTCTGTATCCACAAACTAAGTAGACTAGTCAGCTCCCCTCTCGTTGGAGCAAGCACACACCTCAAAAACGACTCTAAGTTACAGGACCGGCTTTCTGACGGGGGTGGGGAATCCGTGTGCACTGATTTAGGGGCGTTTATAGGTGCCTCTGAATTGGAAACTTCACTATTCAAAAGTGCTTTGGGGCCAAATGAGCTCTCCAACTTTACAAGCAGAAAGCCCTACTGAGGAGATGCGGAGGGGGGATATTCCACCCCCACTACCAGACTAGGCTGCATTCAGCAAGAACGAATCAGATGGAGGGAGGGAGGGAGGAAAAGAAAGAAGAAAAAGAAGGAAGGAAGGGAAGGAAGAAAGGAGGAAAGAGAAGAGATTTAAAAAAAGAGAGGATTTAATCTGACTTAATGGCAGAGGGGATTAGCAAGAGGGGCACTCGGGACCTGGTTTTAAATTGGCGAGTGCTTTTTAGAAGGAAACACTACGCACGATCAGGGTCTGGGTGTTCCAGCGAACCGATCACCCTACAAATCGCGAGTTTCAAAGAGATGGCACAGTGTCATGCTTTAGCCATCAGCTACCGTGAAAACTAGCCTTCCTCTCGTAGGCAATCCATCAGTCACTAACTGGCCGCTCCACCACTCCACACGGAAAGAAGTCGGACTCGGACGGCCTCCGGCGCGGGCTGGGTCTGGGAACCCTGTGCGGGCGCGGGCGCGCGGGCGGGCGACCGAGTGCCGGCCAAGCGGGGCTTGGATGGGAGCGGCCCGCTCCAGATCGGAGGGCGATTGCCTCCCCAGCCTGCAGAGGGTACCGCCGCGAGTGCCTCCAAATCACTAGGGGACTCTGAACGTGTTGCTCCCGTCAACTCGCCCAACATGATTCAGTCATTCACTTAGATAAACCACCACACCAACCTCCACTTGATGCGTACTTAAAAATGAGAGGGGAGCGCGGCCAGGCAGACCCTCCGCCGGACACGACTCCGGGAGAAACGTGTTTTAAATCCAAGCTCTTGAGCTTCTAACCCGGGAGCGCGCGCGAGTGTGTGAAGAGGCTGGGAACCTCGGTTTTCAGAGACTCTAGAATAAACTTCTCGCCTCCCTCTCCTCCCGAGGACAGCCGGGACTGTGGGTGAACGAGTCTCATCGGGTCGGGGCCTTGCGGGACCGGTCTGCCTGACCCGACCGCGCTCGCATTGCAGAGCCGAGGCTCGATCGGCCGGCCGGGCTGCCTAACCCCCGCCCCGCAGTAGCGGCGTCCCTCGCGCGCCGCCGCGTTTCCCGCGCTCTCGGCCGGTACTTCCCGGCGCGGCCTACAAGGCCCCGCGCGGCCCCGCCTCCGGGTCCCGCTCGGTCTCAGGCTGCGAGAGGGAAGGCGGAGGTTATCCGCCGAGGGACAAGCGGCGCGGACCGAGTAAGTGGAAGCTTGGGTCCCGGGTCGCCTGCAGGCCTGCTTTCCAGGTCACCCCTTCCCACGCTGGGCGCCCCGAGGCGCGGCCGGGCGCGCCTGCCTCCCGGGCTCTAGACTCGAGCCTGTTGGGACTCGCTCGTATACTTGAGCGCACTGTATGGCGGGTTTGGTTCTCTTCCCAGTACGCCGCGTGTGGAGGCCGAGCCCGGCACAGCCCAGGAAGAGTGGAGAGCGGGTGTCCTCCCCGGGCCTGGGTTGTGGGCATCTCGACGGCTCGAGGGATTCAGGGACGTTTAGTTGTTTAGTCGGGAGCTGAGGGCCGACACTCCGAGGGGAGGCGGCTCGCGGGTTCGCGGCCACTACCTGGGACGCCCAGGTGAGAAGCTGGGGCTCCAGGCGCCAAGGCGGCCTCCTTCCTCACTGGTCACATGCCAGGCGTGGTCTTCCTACCCACTCGTGTTCAAACTTCTGGAACTCTCTGAGGATCCCGCAATCTTTGTTTTACGTTAAGAAGGGACTAAGAAGGATGTGTTTTTGTAATTAAGAGGCAAGTTGGAGGTAGGAGTAAGGCCTGTGAGTAGCATTCATAAATGGCCTCCTTAAACTTTCTTGAGGTACATGAAATGAAATTATACATGCAGTCGATATGTTTTGTGTTTATGTGTTAGCATTTAGAAGTGTTGAACATTTAAGATATGCCACACATCTGTGACTTTTGAAAAAAATTTCTTGATCAGTTTTAGAGTTTCAATAAATGGAAAATGTCTCTGGTCTTTCAACCTCTGAGGGTAGTGGAATATTTGTTTTGTGTCCCTTTGGCATATTTATACTAGTACTATGCTCCCAAGATAAAGTAATTTGCGTTTTAGTTCAAATATTATCACCATCTACTGGATTTCAAGAATGACATAAACTGAGGATATTCTCCACACATATACCTTATTCAGTATTATCACTACCAGTATGCAGTTGGATTTGATAGGCTTGTAACTGAACTGAAATGGTAGAGTGCAGCTCCATAACACCCTTGAAGACCCAGTGCAAAAGCTGTATGTACATAAATGTTTGAAAAGGTATCTCAGAATGTGGTGATTATTCTTTGCTTCTCTATTTCAGAGGCCCAAGGATGGGCAGTTGGTATGGGTAGAGTACTGATACCTTCTTTTTTTAATGTGTGTGTGTATATATATATATATTTTTTTAATGGGTTCATTTACAGTGGTGTGTTTCTGATATTCTGTAAATTCTGTTATATATATATTAATATATGTTTTCATATTCCTTTCCATTATAGTTTAAGATAATTGAATATGGTTGTGTGTGCCCTACAGTAGGTCCTTGTTTATTTTATATGTAGCAGTGCATATCTGCTAAACCCAAACTCTTAATTTATCCCCTATCCCTTCCCCTGTGGTAACCATAAGCTTGTTTTCTGTCTGTGCGCCTGTTTCTGTTTTGTAAATAAGTTCATTTGCTGATACATTCTTAAAGAGAGTAAAAATTGTGAATATTGGGAGAAAAGGACCATCCCATTTGAAGTTTTGCCTGTGGAAAGCAGTTAATGATCCAAGGAAACTGATTCTAGGGAGAATTCCTACTTATATCTTCCCTTCCAATCCATTTTTCTAACATTCTTCCCTCACTGTTGAAAAAAGAGCAACATTCTATTTGCTTGAGGGTAATAAGAGGACAGGATCTAACCTTTAGTGGACATCTATTATGTATTAGCAACTTTCTCATATTTAATTTTCATAATCTTATAAAATTGGAATTATTATTAGTCTTAAAAAAAGGGAAAGATCCAGCTGGTTTAAATATCTGTGGTCACACAGGTGGCAATAGTTAATATAGGTTTGAAATCTAGCTCTATAATTGTGAAACCCAGCTCGGTGTTTAGAATCTGGTTAACTGAGTCTAAATAGACTCAAGCAAGCACCATTGGTTACTGATTATTATTGCAGGTTCAGGTGGAAACTGTTTGTGAACAGTGCATCATTTGTCTTCCTCCCCCCCCCCCCCCTCCTTTTTCTAGAAGGCAAGGTCTTAATTCTGGCTCTCCTTAGGATCTTTTGGCTATGAAGAGATTGATTTGAAGCAGGGATATAAAATTCTGTGTCTTTTCCCTGTGCCATACCAAAGTAACCTAGAGTTTAAACTCAAGTTTTCTGCATTTAGGTCTCAATTGGCATCAAGTGTAAGGCTACCTATAGGCTGGCTTGGTCAAGGTATGATTTCATGAGGATAGACTCAGGTCAAACTAAGTATCACTCTTAAAACTCCAGCCTCAGAAACGAAAAGGGTGGGAGGGAAATATAGTAATAACATAACACATGACTGCTAATTAACCTTATTAACAACTGCAAGCCAGTGAACATTTATATTTTTATTTTCTCAAAGGCAATTAATTTTTTTTGCCTTCTATTAACTACCTTTCCCCCCCAGATAATCACCTATATCAAAACCACCCTTTAAAAGGTCAGTAGAAATTATTTTAAGACATTCAAATATAAAAAAGTATTGTTATTTTAATAGGCACTGTGGATAGTTTAATTTGTATCTTGTATTAAATTAAACATATGGTGAACAGGGTATAATAGATTTTCTATAATTTAGCTGCCAATGTGGCAACAGCAGCCAGTTACTCTTACCAGCAGACTTGTCAGTGGTTTGTTTACTAGCTTATTTGAATTAAAATAAAGCTTTGCTTCTGCTGACTGCACATCATTATCTATGAGACCATAATCCTGCTAGCAAATCCTATATCTTCCAGAACTGGCTCTTTTGTTTGGGATTACTGAGAGCTTAGCCTATAACAAAGAGGAATAAGGCATCCCTCTCATCCTCATAATTAAGTGTGGGGACTAATTTAGAAACAAACCCAGAAAGATGTACTATTTGGAGTTATATTTCGATACAGAATGGGAGAGAAACAGGATAGGCCAAACACCTGATTGTTAACAGAATGTTTAAACTATTAAGCAAGTGTACTACAGGAATCCAGCTTGTTAAAATTAAGAGCAACAGCAAATAAGGCATTGATGGCCTTTGCACGGGGCAGTAATTCTGTATGAAGGATCTGAAGGTATGTTTGGGAAGAGGAAGTATTAGGGTGTCAGGCAGGGGAAGATGTGCTGTATGCTTTGTGAATGCCATTTATTTTATTCTTTCATTATCCTAACAGGCTGTGCAATTAATAGTTATTGTTATGAGCAGAGTTATTAAAATACTGAAATAAAAAATAACACAACACTTTTATCACTAGAAAAAAAAAACTCTTTGGAAATAGTTAACATTTTACTTTCATGGTGCATCAAATTTAGCAAAAAGAAAAGAATAGGTGATTTCCTGGCTCTTTCCATCTACTCAGCTCAAAATAGAGCTTCATGAATTCTGGTAGCCCAATAAAATCTATGTTTAAGGAAAGAACTTAACAACTAGGGTGTATATAAAAACAGCTTTTACAATCCACAGTCCATATATAAACTGATGCCTGTTTGTTAAAGAGGAGGGAAGACACGAGGGTTGATTTGTCAATGTCTTTAAAACTAATTGTCACAGATGGGAATTCTGAGGACCTGTGTGAAACCAAACCAGACCCTGGTGAATTATAAAGCAGGTCCTTAGACTTTAAAAACATTTAGGCAAAGTGACAGTTCAGAACATCTGTTAGCCTTCTGTCTGAGTATAAACTAGATGTCATGGAGTGCACAGCTGTAGGCATTTTAGGCTTTTTTTGCCAACATCTGTCACAGCAGTACAATAATATAGGTAATTATCAACACCTTATATAAACTGTTTGCCATTTTAATTTTTAGAAAGAGTAAAATTAGTGTTACAGTCCTTGGCAAAAATAATTGAGATAAATATAGTCATTTTTATCAAATGAATAAGTGATCTGATCATTCTTTGAAAAACACACATTTTAAATATTTTCTGCAGCCAATATTGGTATTATGCCATTTTGAAAAGAAAAATTCTAAGTGCTTTTTTTTTTTTAAAAAGATTAAGTTAGAAAAAGAAAAGTACTAAAGAGAAAAGTACAAGTTAAATAAGAGGGAGGGCAGAAAGAGGCCAGTAATTTGCTATTCAGAGCAGCCAAAGGTGTTATATGTTTTGTGATAAAAAGATAGATTTTAATACCACGTAATTGTGATATTGATTCCATAGTCATAAAGATTATTAATTTGTTTTATAATGTCAGTATAGCAAAATCTGTGTTGATGAATTATAAAAATTGCCTTCCTCCGCTCTCCTTGCTCTAGAACTTCTTCTCTGTCCTAGAATTTTGCAGAGAAACGGCATATAAAACTAAAATTCACATCTTGCCATCTTAGTAACTAAAGTTAATTTGAAAGGGTTGGCACGTCATATAAATTCAAGGACCATTCATTCTTTTAATGCCACCTGGGTATGGATCATCTACAGTGCTCATCATAAGATACTGGGAATTATTGTCTCATATCTGATTCCCTTGACCTGTGCAGTTGTTGTGTTTCAGTCTAAAGAACTCGAAGCAGCAAGACTGTATTCCAAAGCACCTGTTCTGGGGAAGATGCCAGTCAATAATGTCTTATTGAAAGACCAGGCCCAGCTAGAGAAAATGAAGGAATTGAGCTGCAGTTGGATTTCATCATCTAAACATGCAATGTAATCTTAACCAATTCATTACACACTCCTTTTGTTTCCACTACAAAAGGGATGTTGCCTCTGTCAGAGGTTGTAATTCCAGTATGTTCAAGCAAAGACAAGGGAGAAATTGGAAAAGTGCTATCAATTCTACCCACAGCCAGGAAGAACTGTAGGGTCAGAAGGTCGTTATCACTGTCCCATGTACAGTTCACACTAGACCATGGATAGCTGAAGTTCCCGCATGGCAATAGAAAGATATAATAAAGGAGACACAGAGGAAATACTGAAAAGGAACAGGAGTAGGAAATTATATTCTTAAAC